ATAAGTGTAACTGCGATCAGTCAAAGAATGCAAGCACGCATAATGCATACACAACCGTTGTGACTGGACTCTCAAAAGGTGCACACTGACCGTACGGACATGCGTCGTCGTCGTCAGCTCTGATGGATCGTCCACGAGTGAATCAGTCAGAAGACAAACTCGATCTCTTACCAGTTCCAAGTTACAACTACGAAGGACTGAGTTATCCTGAAATGCACACACACGGTTTGAATAATATATGCAAGAAACGACCAGCCCTGCGTCACACTCCCATCCCCATCCAATATATGGCTGATTCGGCCCGCAATTCTAATGCTGCTTTGACCGCTCGATCTGCTTGCTATCTCGCGTCGTTACAGCAGTCTCGATAGATCGTCATAGAGACCAACCAGCTTTGCTGTGCCTGTGACCAACGTACGTACGTGCAACCACGAAAAGGGACTTTCTTTAATCTGTTCTCGTTAACTTCACACCAAACTTTTACCCATAAGCGGTGTTTTAAATCAATCAATATACAGATCGACGCTTACACGGGAAGCGTCCAGAGTCCACTGGTGGGTGCATCTGGTCGTCTCGCGCTCAGATTCAGTAGCAGAGACGACTGATGAATTTCCAAGCAAGGGTGGCAGTCAGTCGGTCTCAGGTCAAGCTAGCTTCCAGTTGGTTTTGCTGGCTTGTGAACCTACTCAACGCTGGCTGGCTGGCTTCAAAGCTACTAGCTAGCTTACTTGCTTGCATTGGAGAGTCCAGAGTCCAGAGTCCACCGGACGATGTCAAGACGTTCGTTCGTACGTACTGCTGGACGTAGTTAATTAGGCTGACGACGCACGCACGGACGCCAGCCACACGTATGTGCTGCTAATCAGGAACAGATAGACTTACAGAAAGAATTCAAGAAGAAGAAGAAGAAGCTTCCCGTGTTCAATTCCTTGTGGAGTCATCAGGTAGGCACGAAGGTTTGGCAAATGACCTGCTGCTGACCTGTGCTGTGCCTTGTACCAGCTAGGAGTGTACTCACAACAGTTTTCTTTACTCCGGAACGAAACTAGCTACCTGACCAGACCCAGGAATCCTGCACCTTTTTTAGTACGTAGTACGTAGCGTAGCAAGTACTACTTGCCTTATTTCGTCAATACAGTTGTATATTTCTACTTTGATCAAATGTATACAAGCACTAACATTTTCTATTTAGATAGAGTCGTAAAATATTAACAATATTTCTTATAGATTTACTTAAACTAGTTCGACACAGTCTAAAGCTAGAATTATGTCTTTTTTTTTTTTGGGGGGGGACGGAGGTAGCAGCTCGGTTGCTTGGTCGCTTCCAGAACCACAAACGCCTGGAAACCGGCAGTACATTAATTTGACCTTTCTAGTTCACTTTGATTACTTTTTTTTATTTAGAATAAAAACACAGTGATTCGTGAAGCCATGAGCATGCGTGGGCTGCCGGCCCGTTCGAAAAAAGCAACGCCGACCCCTTCCGGCCTGTTACATGGGCCTGTTCAAAAAAAAAAATTCTACAAGCGGATGGGGAAAAAATTCCATTTGATGTCCTTCAACTGGTTCGATTGTTCTTCTACTCAAACTACAAAATCAGGTTTGCTACGCTCGGATAAATCACACCCCCAAACAGATTTTAACGGTGGTTTCATGATGGTTTTGGCCTACGTCGCACCACGTTAGGAGTGAGGGGTTTAAAACTGAAAGACGTTGACACTTCACGGGAGTCAAATAGTTACATTATAAATTGCTCACTAGCCCCTCTAAAATCCATCCACAATGTGCCGGTGAGGCTAGAAAAATAAGTGGACTCTGAAGCAACAAAACAATCTGCCTTCAAACGGATTTGGAGATGCCCCTGTCAGCCAAAGCACAAAGTATTCTTCTGGTTGTTGCCCAAAGACATGCTTAGTACCAGAGATATACTGAGAAGAAGGAACATGTTCATTGAAGACTATAACTGTGTGCTCTGCAACTCCTCAGTGGAGGAAACTTTGGAGCACCTTTTTCCTTCACTGTGACTTTGCTAAACAATGTTGGAACCTACTAGGCATTGACATTTCTCCAAACAGCATGTTTCCTGATATTATCTCAACATTCAAGACAAGACTGCAGTCAGAATTTTTCATGGTGGCTGCAATACTGATGAGCTGGTCAATATGGACATCAAGGAATGATCTGATTTTCAAAGGACTCCAACCTAATTTACAAAATTGCAAAAGGAATCTATTCAAGGAACTGAAATTGGTTCTACTCAGAGTTAAACCAATCCTCCTCACAAGATTTGAATTATGGCTGCACAATATCTCTTCCATTTAATGGCCAGATCCTGCTTAATTTTCTTTGTTCCTTCATTAGTCTCCTACCTGTTTGTAATACATGTTTGTAAATTTTAAACTTCCTTTTATTTAATTAAATTCCTGTAGGGGCCAAGGCCCTCTAGTTCCCTAAAAAAAAAAGCAACAAAACAACCATCTACCAGTAAAGTTCTACTACACAGATAAATGAGAATCAGTTCCATCTAGCTAGAAAATTGGGACCCACAAGCACAATAAAAGTACTCATCTTCTTCTCCACTGTCCTTTTCATTCGCGCAAGTATCGTAGAAACAATATTATCTAAGTACCATAGAAATAATACTATCTTAAGAAGTTGGGGGTGAGGCAACAACATTCACCGATATTTTTTTTTTTTTTTTTTTTTGCACTTCGAGCATCATTTGGCAATGTTGTCTGAGATGCTTGTTTCCACTCTCTCAGACTATGATGAACCTAATGAGTGCAGCTGAAACTTCTAGGACATGCTCAAGTGGACTCAACGACAATAGGGGGGCTTGAGAGCATTTGATTCGCCCTTGTGGATGAGGCTTAGCATGGGCGGGTACCATGAGGACTTTTGTCTTAGGTGTGTCGCTCACCTTACTGCTGATGATGTGGTATGAATTTCTCTCTTTTATTGGCGACGAGGGTGAGGCCATGAGCGCCTTCGCCTTGGACACATATGCTGTCAGGTGGCATGGACTGGGCAAAGTTAGATTAAGTCCTTAGCCAGGATCGCGCGGTCACATAATGGTCTAGGGTGCGGTTTGGTTGGCACCGGAATCGATTCACAGTGGTATTCACTAACGTTCATTAAGATATGCTTCAATCGTGTCACGGCGAAGTCGGTCCATACGCGCTGTGCTTACCACCCAGGGCCGACCGCAAACGGATCACGTCACTGGCAGCTGTCACCTCACGTGAACCAAACAATCACAGAGGTTGCAGAGTTATCCGTTCCCATTGCCGTTTAGGAGTCTGTTCGCTGGAAGCTTGACTGGTGCTAGTTTATTGTGAGAGAAAACTGATAAGCTCCGACTGAAACAAACAACGAACAGACCGTATGTTGGCAGTGCATAACTAAACAGCACCCGCTCTTATAAACTTTTTGAAAAGATATACATCTATGATCTACTCCATACTACTAGACATATAGAAGACTTCCCTCTCAGAATTTGAGATGTAAACCTGATTGGGAAAAATTTATACTCACTAGTAGACAAAATTCCTGTACGGGCTGTCAATCAATCAAGACTCGAGCTACTACTAGTTCCAGCTGCCATGAATTATCACGAAATGCAGTCGAACGGTTTCAAGGACCTCACCGGCTCTGCCCTGGCCCTGCGGCACACTAGTCATCACCCATGGTCGATTGGGCCGGCGAACCAACTTGTAGTCTTATGTTTCAACATTCACTCGGTTTAGCTGCAATATTAGCAACCGTATTTACAAGAACAGGGTTACAGGAAGGTAGTGGAATATCTGTCAACGCCTCCCAACACATCAAATTCGAGGAAAGCAGCGGAACTAAACCTTTCGAGCAAATTTAGCAACAGGTATTTACAGCATCAACACACAGATAAACTTTATGTGATGATTTTCTTTTCTTTTTTATTTTTTTTAAAAAACTCCCTGACCACGGATACAACCAAAATTTCCAGTGTGTTCAACATCCAACCACCAGCCAAATGTTCTGTTTGACTCAAGTAAACATAAAAACTAAAGACTTTCTTGATACCATGGATAGGCAAGGACACAAGTCATTTCTATTTTCCCTTGGTAGAAGAATTTTGTGTAATCTCATGATTAAACCAGCCATTGTTCTCCCATCAAAAGGTAATATTATACAGGCTTGATGTACCCAAACTACAGAAACCACCACACACATGACATAGAAGAAACGTCTGGTGTTGGCAAGAAGGCACTAACATATAACAAGCCCACCAAATTCAAGGCAAGGCATCAAGTAACAGTTTCCCCCAGGTATCGCCGATTCTTTGCTTTCTTTTATCACATCCTCATCTCCGCCTATTTACAGATTCAGCTGTGTGCGCTCAGCATTCTCATTATTACTCCGTGACGCAGGAGTGCCTGTTTACAGATTCAGTCATTCTTTGTGTGCTCAGCATTCCCATTGTTACTGGGCGACACAGCGGCGCCACACTGCACCATTTGCAGTTGGATTTGTAACATCTGGATAGAAGATGTACAGTTTATCAGTGTTGATGGAAATTATTGATAATTTGATATATCAATGAAAGAAATCCATATGCATTATGTTATGTCAAGCATGTCATTGTAAAGTAAAGGTGAAACAACAATTAGCCTAATAATTGCCGTATGTGCACGAATGCAACAGGCTGGTCCAATCTAATTACTGAGTGCTATACAAGAAAAACATTCACAACTTGGGAGAAAACACGTCAGATTGTGTAACTGTTCAAAGCTCGAACTTGCAATCTACACTAAAATGTAGATCATATATGCCAACCAAGATTGTTAAAATGGATAGAAAAGACACTTGTGTGCTACATGCTGTTTTGTAGGAATCAATGATAACTTAGGTTGCATGCTATGGATGGCATATTTGCATATTTATACCAGTACTCAATGACAAGCAGATTATTACATATCCATACTTTTAACTTGTGTTAACATAGTCAGAAGGTATTAAAAACATCACACAGATACCTAGTGCAACACATTCATTTTCATGTGTGATCATGCAATGAATGAATCATTAGATAGATGCATGTTAAGTCAAATACTCAATTGTGATTCAGAAACTATCCATCCATGTCGGATGTCACACAAGTCATCAGTACACATGAAGATCACAGAGTATGCAGCTTTGCATGATTGCAGCTAAAGATGAGCTTGCAACAGAAATATCTACGATATTGCAATTTGCAAGCAGTCAATGTAGACCTATCTAGCTCATTATAGCTTGTATGCAGCGCTTGTTGATCACATCATAAAGTAGCATGGAAGGATGTAATCTGAGTACTTTTGCCATCAAGATTCTTTCTTACCTCAATCTGACTCTTAATAAAGTTTTCCTGTGCCTTCTGCAGTGAATTTTCAAGATCCCTTGTGCTTGTTCCTGAACCAAAAGCACCATTTGAATTAAAAGGCAGAGGCACTAAACCGTCGGTGCTGTTTCGGAACTGCATTTCTTGGTCTTTTTGTGACTGATTGGAGCTACTTGCTTCAGATTGTGGTGTCCTTGATGTAGACTGGGGAGGACCGGACCTGCTGGTTGAATACAACATATGTATTAGTATTATGCTTTTTTATCATAACACCCCTACATTTTATTATGCTGTAAATATAGTAATAGTTAAATTATAGTGAATACAAAGTACTGAAAAGTAGACAAGCATAGTTAACCACACCCAGTTTCGCAAGATGAAAAACTTTGCGATTAGACTTTAGACAGTTCCAGAAACATACCTGTTTAGGGTGTTTGCTGGAGGATAAACAAAAGATCTTCCATATAAAGAAGCTGCCGCTGCAGCAGCTTCAAGTTTTGCTTGGCGCCTGCTCATGTTCTCACCTGGTGCTCCTTCTGAGGATGGAGTAGCAGTACCTGCAGCTGCCTTTTCTCACATCAAAACAGCAAACACAAATATAGACTGACCACAGAGTGCAGTCCTCTATGATACTAAAGAAGACTAAAATCAGAATATGTGATGGGGGGAAATAAGATCAGATCAATAAAAGGAAACTCACCAGGCTGAACTCCAGCTTGAGCTCCATGTTGTCGAACTGATGCAGCACGTCCATTATCTGCGGGAATGATTGGAGCTCTGCATGTAGGGCAAGTGTGCTGGCGCTCTAGCCAAGACCTTAGACAATGCACATGGAACAGATGCCCGCAGAGCAGTTTCTTTGCTGTAGTCATCTCCTCACGGCAAATAATACATGTAGCATCACTCCTGAATACAATAAAATTCAAATGACAACAAGTTTTATAGTCGAGTCAACTGAATCACCAAAGTTACAATATAAAACTTACGCATCGAGCTCTTCTGCTGTAGCATCTGGAAAGCGCTCATTCATGTTGGAAGTGATCTTTCTGTAGCGTACATAATCTGCAATGCGAATTCTGAAGTTGCGGAAGGTCTCATATAGCTCACGAATCAAGTGCAGCGGGACACCATAATTCCTGATATCAGTATAATGAATCAACCACCATAGTTTACATTATAGTATCAGAGTACCATAATAAGAGAACTTACAGGAAGATAGCTATAAAGAAGAGCATGTATAATGACAAGTGCACAAGGTCACTGATGAGCTCCAAGTAAAATGTATAAACTGCCTTTCTCTCCCATTGACCTTCCATTAGCATGTCACTGACATAGAATATATACTTCACGAATGTTGATACTGTGGATGTTGCTAGTATCATATACCTGAAACATGATTTATACTTGTTAGCTATTATTGAGCATTTTGGATCTTAAAATGTTACATCAATAAATAATTGCCAGGTATTTAGAAATAAGAACTATAGGGTTACTACCTAGCCTGTAAGGCATACCACTTGCCTTGGAAGCAAGAAGCAAAGAAATTATAGTATAGCTGGAGTTTCATGCTAAATGGACCAAATACTTTGCAGTCATAACTGCACAAGCCTTCTGAACATAACTGCACAAGCTTGTAGACTAACATCTCGTAATATAGCAAGAAGAGCACATAGATGAACTGATTAGCAAGCTTGAGACAGTTAAGGTAGTGAAAGTAAGATATATACATGGCTTAGCATATATATATATATATAAAGGGCGTACCCAGTGCAGAGAGCTCCCGCTCTGTGCGGGGTCTGGGGAAGGGTGTTCGTGGCAAGCCTTACCCTCGCCTGTGCAATGCGAGGAGACCGCGACTCGAACCCGGAACCTTCCGGTCACAGGCGGTAAGACTCTACCGCTTGCACCAGGCCCGCCCTTCTTAGCATGCATATATATATATATATATATATATATATATATATATATATATATATATATATATATATATATATATATATATATATATATATATATATATATGTCAAGCAAATAAAAAAAATAACTGCAAAGCTGGCATTATTCATGTAGTATAGGGCAGTGCAAAGGACGGTACACAAAATGGAAAGAGATTACATTGCTGAAGAATTAAGACCTTTGTGGCAGGCATGGTACAATGCAACTACAAAAAACACTCGCTTGATATACAGACCTAATATGTAGTACTTCTCCGTTTTGCAAATATTTGTCCATTATCTTGGGAAATGTCATATCAAAGAGTTTGACCAATTTAATCAATCTCTACCCCTACTCTAATAATGTTGCGAAAGAGGACAAAATATTGTAGCATGTCACATTGATACAGTGATAAAATGAAAACAGAGTGCAGAATTTCCACGCACACAAAAAAGGCATTTAGGCGAAACTGAAGAAAAGGAAATTGAGCTTACTCAAAGGAGAAGAAGATGGCAACGGATGCCTCCCGCTTCTGTATGAGTGACCTGAGCGAGTTAGACAGGAAGAGGCAGTCGACGGTGAGCAGGAAAACCATGAAGGAGACGATCCTGATGTGCGAGAGCAAGGGCACGGAGGGCGTGGTCTCGATGTACTCGACCCTCTTCTGCGCGAGCCAGTGCAGCGCCTTGACGAGGAGCAGCGCGGCGACCATGGCGAGGAAGGACACCGAAAAGTCCTGCCGGAAGATGGTGACAGCGAAGAGGATCTCGATGGCCTCCCGCCAGGCCTGCTCGTTGAGACGCTCAACCTCGGCCTCCCGGAGCGAGCCGAGGAAGAGGCGCCTGGCGAGCTGCCAGGCGACGCACATGGCAACGAGGCCCGTGTTCAGGAGCAGCACGAAGCAGATCTTGGACGTGGAGAGGTACACCATCGCCGGGTAGAACTGCTCCCGGCTGCTGAACGCGTAGTACGCCGCCGACGCCGTCGCCAGCAGGCTGAACGCCGCGTACGTCGGTAGTCGGATCATCTTCGCCACCGGGGGCCGCCGCCCGCCCGCGGGAAATCACCCAACGATTTCCGCAACGAAACCGCACCAGAACACCAGATCGCCTAGAACAAACAAACGATCCAAATTACCAGGCGCGATATGGGAAACAAATCTCAGAAGTCAGCCAGCTAATCCAAACAAGGGGGCGGAGCCAGTGAAGTACATGGGCGATAATATTTGCAAAAAAAAAAATCGAAATTGGGACGCATTAAACAGGTATACATATACACTCAGATCCGGATAGAGATAGCCAAATAGCTTAAGTTAGGGTTTGGGAGCTCGGTTTCGCACAGCAGGAAGGTAAGAGAAGGGGTGGGCATAAGGTATACCTGGTGGGAGCTCTTCGCTGGCGAAGGACCCGACGGACCCTGGCACCTGGCGTAGGCGGCGGCGTCGGTCGCCGTCGTCGCCACGAGAGAAAGAGGGGTGAACGCCTGAACGGGAGAAGAATCCCAAGAAACAGAAACAGCAGGGGTGGAGAAGTGAAACGCAGTCCGGGGCTGTTTTGCCTGGGCCTGCAGACTGTAGTAGGCCTGGAAACTACTTGTGTAGGCCCATTGGTCCAACACAGATCATTCAGTCTTTGTTTGAAGGAAAAAGTTCATTTTACCTCCCTAAATTATCATTAAAGGGTCTAGTTTTTTTCTTAAACTCCAAAACCAGGTAAACCACCTCCCTCAACTTTTAAAAACGTTTATTTTACCTCCTGACTAGGTTATAGGTGGTTTTTAAAGGCGGTTGTCTTTTTATTTTTTATTTATTTTGGCTGATTTTTTGAAAAATCATAGTAAATGATAGAAAAAAATCATAAAATGAAAAAATCTAATATTTTTGGAGTCCACATGAGTATATCTACACAGTGAATATACAATATAGTATGTTTTAATACAAAAATTTTGTTGTAGCTTTAGATCTATGTTTTTTTATAATTAATTCAAAGCTGTAGTTTCTATGGTCCAATTATGGTGAAACTTTTATGGTGTGCTAATTATTATATCATTGAACTGTAGTAAAAATTTCATGCTCATTAGATCATGTAACTGAGTTATAGATTTATTTAGTTTTATGCTTATTAAATAGTTTTTAAAATAGTTAAAAGTGTGTAAAAATAGAAACAAGTATGAAATTTTTACTACTGTTAAAGCATAGAATAATTAGACCACTATAAAAATTTCACCACAATTGGACCATAGAAACTGCAGTTATGAATTAATTACAGAAAAGCATAGTTCTAAAGCTACAGCAAATTTTTTTTACTAAAGCATACCATATTATATGTTTACTATGTAGATCTACTCATGGAGTCCAAAAATAGATTTTCTATTTTATTATTTTTCTATGATTTTTAAATATTTAGCCAAAATAAATAAAAAAGAAAAAGACAAAACCACCTGTAATCAGGCCGAACGATTTTAAAAGTTGAGGGAGGTGGTTTACCCGGTTTCGAGTTCAGGGAGGAAAACTAAACTTCGAGGATAGGTAAAATAGATTTCTTCCTTGTTTGAATATAGTACAGACATGAAGAATTTGAGATCAAATTTTGACCTTTGTCTCCTGTTCTGATGAATTTTATATTGAAGTATTTATTTATAAGAAGTATATTTTTTGCGAAACTCAGTACAGACACGGATGCTCATGAGCGTATATTGGATCCAATTAAATTAGAAAACTAAATAAAACATTTTATATGTTGGTCAACAAATTACAATGGTTTATGCGTTCACGAAGAGATCACAAATCATAATAATATTGTACATTTTTCTTTCACTATATCGCTCCCAGGCTCAGGAACCAGCTAAATAGAACGTCTGAACCGTTGCTTGACCAGACAAAAACCATGAGTTAAATTTGCAAAACTCTTAGGGCCCATTTAGATATTTAGAATTAAATTCATTCTAATAATTACAATTTAGCCATCATGACGTCGTCTGCGGGCTGCTCCTGCTGCTCCCCGTAGCCGGTCTGATCACCGACAAATCCTCCAGAAACCTCTCCACAAAGCAATGCGTCGAGAGAGAGCTCCGGTAGACATTGTCATGAAACACCTTGCGTCTCGCATGCCATAACGCCCAAAGGCGAATCACCACACGTATCACAGCATCAAGAAGCATAGATTTCATAACGATTGATAGCCATGATCTTGCATCCCCCTCATTGATCATACTCAAAGCTTCAGTAATATCCTCCCTCTCGATCCAAAGCCCACACCGCTCGCCATGTGGCACTCGAGGAGAGCATGTTTCCAGGAATCCGGCTCTCCACATAGACTACATCGAAAATCATCTGCCATGTTCCTGCGAAACCTAAGTCTTGAGTTAGTCTGGCGTGCAAGCCGCCACAAAAAGACCCTAACCTTTGAAGGTACCTTCACTTTCCACAAATCAGTCCACTCTTTTTCATCTGCCTTCGTGTCGGATCTGCCGGCCGTGTGATCTAGCCAGGCCGTCCGCTTCTCCCTATTATGCACCAGCAACTATAGGCAGACCTGACTGAAAAAATCCCCGACTTCTCATACTGCCATGCCCAAAAATCCTCTTGCTCAGACGTACACAATGATATGCTAAAAATAATATCAGCGTCCATTGGAATAAAGAAATCCCCCACCAGCTGCCTGTCCCAAGAACGTCCAGGATCAATAAGCTCACTAACTTTTTGTGGGTTATCTTTGGTACAGCAAACAGGCCGCATCAAGCCTTCCCTCGGCAACCAGTTTGACGTCCAGATATCAGTCTGTTTGCCCGTTCCGATCCTCCTAATCAGCCCCTGCACCAAGGTGTCTCCCCCCTCAATAATTGATCTCCAAATGCACGATGGAGAAGTACCAATAGGCGCCTCCAGAAAATCCCTCTCTGGGAAATAAACTGCCTTCAGAATGCGAGAGCTCAAAGCCCTCGGGTCTTGCAGTATCCTCCATGCCTGGCAAGCAAGAAGGGCTAAGTTAAAAAGGTCAGGTAGAAGGGGTCTTACCTCACCTTGTCCAAGATGGCTTGTCCATCCTCCAATATGCGGACGACACAGTAATATTTATGAGTCATGACGTTGAAAGAGCGAGAATCATGAAGTTAATTGAGAAACATGAAGTTAATTTTAAGTACTTTTGAGCAACTCTCAGGACTTAAAATTAACTTTCACAAGAGTGAGATCTTTTGCTTTGGTAAGGCAAAGGATCATAAGGTGTTTTACTCGCAGCTGTTTGGATGTGGGGTGGGTAAGTTTCCTTTCCGTTACCTTGGTTTACCTATACACACTAGGAAGTTGAGTAATAAAGATTGGCAGACAATCGAAAACAGAATTGAGAAGAAGCTTGGTGGTTGAAAAGGTAAGTTGCTTTCGGTAGGAGGTCGCTTGGTTTTAATAAACTCGGTGCTCTCTAGCTTACCGATGTTTATGATGTCATTTTTCGAACTCCCAAAAGGAGTTTTGGAAAAGATTGACTGTTTAAGATCAAGATTCTACTGGCAAAATGACCAACACAAGCGCAAATATAGGCTGGCTAAATGGGAAATTTTATGCCAACCAAAAATCCAAGGTGGCTTAGGTATTCAAAATTTGGACTTACAAAACAGATGTCTGTGAAGTAAATGGCTTTTCAAATTGCTAAATGAGGATGGCATGTGGCAAGAATTATTGAGGAATAAATACATAAAAGATAAGACTCTAGGGAGTTGTACTAAAAAGCCAACTGACTCTCATTTCTGGAAAGGCTTGATGAATGTTAAAGATACTTTCATGGGTTTGGGTTCATTCAGAGTGAAAGACGGATCACAGACTCGCTTTTGGATGGATGCTTGGTTGGGTGACCAGCCATTAAAAGATAGATTTCCTGCGTTGTTCAATATTGTGAGAAGAAAACAAGATTTGGTGGCAATAGTACGTGCTTCTGTCCCACTTAACATTTCCTTTCGCCGTAATTTAGTGAGTAGGAATCTAAGGGACTGGCTTAGAATTATTGCTTCTATACAAGATGTGAACTTACTGGGGGAAAGAGACACATTTGTTTGGGCTTTACATTCATCAGGTACCTTCTCGATTAAATCTATGTATGCCAAGTTAATTAACAATGGTGTCAGAGTATCACAAGATTTATGGCAGATCAAGATTCCTACAAGAATAAAGATATTCTTGTGGTACCTAAAAAGAGGAGTAATCCTAACCAAAGATAACCTTGCAAGACGTAAATGGAATGTACAGAGACTATTCACCACCTTTTTTTTCGAATGTTCTTATGTCAAATTTCTGTGATGCGCTGTACACTTATTATTTGGAATAGCACCTCCTCTCAACATAGACGATTTATTTGTTACTTGGTCTAAGATGGGTGGTGTTATTTGTAACTCATTGTTATTAACGGCAGCCGCGGCTTTATGTTGGACAATTTGGTTAATAAGAAATGAAGTGGTTTTTGACAAATGCAGACCAAAAACTTTTTTTGTAGGTGCTCTTTAGGGGAACCCATTGGCTACGGCAGTGGGCAAGACTGCAGCGGCGTGATGATCTACGGGACCACCTAACTCTTGTTGGGCAGCATTTGGAGATTTCAGCCCTGCATTTCTTTAGTTCCAGTGGATAGTTATCTACTAAGTTTTTTTGTCTTTCTTAGTCAAGACTTCTCTTCATGTTTTGTTTCTCAAAGTCTGAATGTGAGCTTCTCAACCTTGAAAGTGGTGTGCTGTGAACTTTGTAATAATAGGCCTGATTCTACCTCGGTAGATGAAGCCAGATATAAACTATCCTTTATTAAAAAGAAAAGATCCATATCACGGAAGCTGATCCCTCCCATGTACTTCGGTTTGATCATATCTTCCCAAGCAACCCAACAAGTCCGACGCTTCCCTTCTTTGCCCCCCCCCCCAGAAGCTCCGTAGCAAGCTGTCGAGATGTTTGCAAAGGCCCCTTGGTAATGAAGCAGGACATGGAATAGGTAGGAATAGCCTGAACCATAGATTTTATGAGAACTTCCTTCCCACCCGCTGACAAGC